CAAAGTACAAGATATTCTATTACCTTTGTCAATATTAGTAAGTTGGCTAGCKTAGAGATCGAAGACCGATATTTCTAGTTTTCAATGTGCTAATTGGCTGTTCATTTCATGCTGATTTTTYTCGACATGCTACTAAGACAGAAAATCACGCAAATATTTCGCATGAAATTACCAAAATTTATCTCAGAATAAAGAATGGGACTTCTTTAATTTATGATTTATGAGAATTTTTTCCTTTAACTGTCTCTAGCACTTTGAGAAAAGGGGAATTGAGCACGAGGAATTGTTTTATCTCTCCCCATGAGAATCTTGTTATACCTTAGGTGTACCGCAGGGTTCTGTACTTGGTCTTCAAACAAGAATTCTGCTTGAATATGTCATTTATCATTATCGTGCAGCTCTGACGATAATTATACCACGGCGGTTTTTCAAACAGGTCTAGWAGTTTGCATTAACAAATGAATGCATTCGCGGCCCTTTGAGGACCACTCGCATGCGCTATTGTTTCCGATCTATTTTTTCTAATTTGAACTTAATACGATATTTTGCTGATATATCACTAGTGAAATGCATTATGTTTTGTTTAACGTGTATGATATATTGTTTATATATGTATGTATTTTTTCTTGTTGATAAGATTAAATCAATAATAAGAATAGTAACTAGAGGATATTACATGGTCGCGCAGTCATTTTTATCTTGGAGTGTTGAAAAGCGATGAGAGTATTTTGACACGAAGAGGATAAAATCCGTATCCTCAAGAGATCATGTAATGTTCTGGTTAACATACACTTGTCTATGATGGCAAATTATTTTGTAAATATTAATTTCCAATACATAGAGAAAACACAAATTTTCACTGATGAAWGTAAAAACTTTTCGAAAGTGTGAAATCTTGGTATTTCATAGATTATTAAGTGATATATGTTTGGCGTTGGTTTAAAGATAAAGAAAACAACCAAATTGATTCGTTTAAGACTTCTGTCTTCAAGTGTTACTTCAACTAAGCAAAGGTTTCCTGTATTATTTTATTTCAAAATAATTAGATTTTCTCATTAGWTGACTGTTAAAAGCTTTCTCGAAGAGTATCTAGATAATATAGTTATTGGACTTAACAATGATGAGATTAGCAAAAAAACCCTGAAACTTTAATAACTAAGAATTAAGTCGCAAGAAACAAAATACATTACCTAAAAATGAGTGTTATTTTTCAATTCTTGGAAACTATGACGTCGGTCCAAAGCACTTATTGTTCGCCTCAGGTGGTTAGGAAAACTGTTGATGGAAAACATRTAATTATGAAAATCATTATAAGAGATCTTATGAATGGATGTTTCCACAACAACGACGGGTTATTGTATTATGAGACTATTTTCCTGGCTGAATGCATCACGGACGCGGTATAACTAGATATTATGTTACAGTATGACTGGAAAAGTTTACAAATACCCTGCTTTCGATATCCTGGTTTAATATTCACGTACAAAGAAAATGAAGACGAAGCATGGAGTAACAAAGGTCACAAAGGTTCTATTTATTCATTGCCTGATGCCCAGTCTTCAAAAAAAACTAACAATAAAACCCCCGAACCTTTTACMTCATCTACCATATACACAATGCATTGTAGGATATGTTTGGGACGGAACTTGGTGGATTTCTTTTCTGTTCTCTAGAAGCTAATGCAACAATGCATTGAGAACTAAGTAGTAACGTAAAAGGTTCAGAAGTCTATTGTGTTCGGTTAATCACCCAAAAATCACGGAAAATAGATAGGAAAATTATGCCAAACTGTGCATACAATACTAAAACAGCACATTTTCGTGCYTTCCTGCTGAAAAAAAGCCACGCGGGATTGAGAGAACACGAATGACAGGCGTAAAAAAAACGAACCGGAGGCGAGATATTTTCAGCGTTTTGAGTGTTTTCCTAATATCCCAAGTGGTTTATTTTACAAGGAACGCACGAAAATGTGTTGTTTATTGTTTTATATTATAATAGCATTTTCGCATTCGTGCTTTCACCGGTAAAATAAACAATAACATTTGACTATGATAAAATATTTTMGACTATATTTTTCTCTTAAATTTGTACGATCATTACCAGGCGAAGTGAGATCTTGATCAGGAACTTTAGGCTCATTTCCAGATTATTRCCTTATCAGTCAGACACACAGAGTAGCAGTAATAACTGGATTATATTAAAGAATTGTTAGGATTTTTACTCGATTATTCTGATCATTCTAATTAGTGTGATATTCCAAGAAAAAATAAAAAAATGTCATCTTTATGATTAGATTTCTCAAATTATCATTAATATACCAACYTCACTTGGTACCACACACAAACCTGCTAAAAATATGATTATTTTGCTAAAATCAACCGCAATTTTKWAAGGAAACAAAAGCTTAATCTATTTTCAACCTTAAAGTCACACCTGCAGTCTGCTAGTCTCTTTCYTGGAGATTTAGCAGTTTCCGAATTGTTATTCGTGTTATTTCATAGATTATTAGCATCACAATATTCATGCGCTGAACTCTTAGTTGTCGTATTTGATTATAGTAGTTTCAGAATGTATGCCTCACAGCAGACTCTGGAACTTGATTTAGCACATGTGGTGTTACTCCAACTTTAGCCCGCAATTATTAATTCAATTAACAGTTTCAGATTCCATTTTCATTGCTGTCTACAGTACAAATCTAGAAACTGACTTTTGAGGGATTGATATATATATATGATATATACATACATTTTTTCCTGTCCCCCGAGTTGAAGAAATTAGTTTTACCATCAAGATGACAGCAGCTCACTTGCCGTGGTCATCCAATTTTTTAAAAAACAGGCTGCCTCTACTTCAGTTTGCTTTTAGAGTTCTCTTTTTTTTTGAGTAAAAGTTATAACGCTTGTCTTGCCTTATGAGAAAAATTGGTCCAGAAAACAACGTTACATTATTTTCTATAGATCCACACATGAAGCCACATTTTTCGCAAATCGCGAGACAAAAACTTAGTTTTAGTCCCTAAAAATTAGATTTACTAGACTTACCAAATAAGATGTCTCGAAAATTCTTCCTTGTCTTCCATCGATGTCTTTAATATTTCTTTTAAGTAACTGTACGTAGGTCGTTATCTGTAATCTGCGAATTACTGCAGATGTAAACAACAAAGAGAGAGAAAAACTATTATCTGAAAATCTGAAAAGCTGTTTAATTTTTTTGTCTAAAAAGTTTAATATTTGTTGAGTTGCAAAGAAAGAGAATTAAAAAAAGAAAAAGCAGCCAAGATATTTAAATTGAAAATCCCCTTCCGTATAATAAGTGTTTTTTTTTCTCGTCATGCGGCGTCAGCTGCACAATTATGTTGCAAAAATACGTACAGTACGTACTTTGGTATCGGAAGAAGAAGATAGGAAGTCCTCAGAAATGACAATATTATTCTCCCCTGACGGCTGAATCCTTTCAAAATCCAGAAACCAGGATTATTTTACGCCTGGAAACAATATTTTCCTCGTTAGAAATATAACARTGTGTACAAAAAATTCCCGCCAYCGTAATAAGTGGGGAACCACATTTGCTTGACAACTAATCAATTATTCAGGCTGTGTATAATCACATTAACAGACTTATTTCTTGTGGTTAAACAAAATAAACTATCGAATTTAACCAGTAAAAGTTACAAACCACTGAAATTTGGTACTTTCTACCCAGACTTTAGAGAAATCCAACGCATTGTAAGTTAATAACGGTGGTAAAGCTTTGAGTGGGCTTAACTTAATTGAATTTTAAGAAATATAATTTTCTCGCCCCATGCGATTTTYCCCATTTGTCTAACAGCTTAACCAATCTTAACTGCTTTCGTTATTTAGCATATCGTATAAARATTTTGAAGTCTGGTTTTGAAAATAAAAAGAATGAAAAAATTCGTAAATTCTGTTCAACTTTCTGATGCTATTAAATGAAGTTTGTATTGCAAAGTAAATATTACAATGTATTTAAATTAAACTTCAGTATTTACACCTTTTGCACATAAAAAGTCCTTTGTATWCTCTTTTTTGAATAATATCTTTATTATTTTTTTTGTTAGTTTTAATTACAATGTTTTTAAAACTAGTGCGCAAATCATTCTAGCAGTTTTTGACAATGCATCTGTTACTCGGTGTATTTGGATTGATCTTTACAACAAATTTCAATGAATGTATTTCAGGCCATWTGTCCTATAAGATAGGTAAGACTTTAGTCGTGTTTCTAAATTATAAAATATGGTGTAATTTTAAAAACGTAAATTTGAATTGTCATACTTTGTCATAGTACTGGGTGGGTTTATAAAATTGACCTTTTGAATCTCAAAGTCCTCGCGAAATTTGGTCTTGGTATGTACAGAGATTTACAATTATGCAGATGTTTGATCGTCTGATGGTGTACCCTACTTATCGCAAAATGGATTCTAGTTATAAAACCTTTGTTCCTTAAACACACGCCGCTACTCACAAAAGCAAACATATTTCTCTCGTATCGCACATAGTGGTCGTATGTATCGAGAGCAGTCAGGTAAGCATTCATGGCCATACAGCTATACAGCTGAACTGGCCGCCGAGATATCCCTTAAAACGGAGGCTATACAGTTGAAATATGGTACTTGTAAACACTCGAACCCCGCTGTTCAAAGATAGGTACGAAGCTTTTTGGTAGAATCGAAAAAAACGTCATACAAATAAGACGTTTACAAAGCTTCAAATAACGTTGTAAGAACGGAATAGCAAATCGTACAGCTCTTAAAGGGACACTGTCAATGGCACGCATGCGCGAGTAAACTTGAAAACACTAGGCTAGTGTTTTCAAGTTTATGACTCCAAGTTGGCGCGACATAAATCAGCTCGTAAACGTAAACAGATCTAGAATATTCCAAAGTGTGTCAAAAGCACCACAAAATGATTTACCTCGAAGGTAATACTTTCAAAGTCCGTTAGAGGTGAGACTGTTACTGCGCATGTCATCCATTGACCGTGTACAGCACAATTCTTTAGGAAAATACGTCTTGCTTATGGAACCAGGTAATGCATTAGGAAATGCCTCGATCAACTCACTTGTGAATTTTTAAGCTTACACTTATTTTCTAGGGCTCGATACCAATGACACATTATCTCAACATGCCGCAGAACATGCACTGGGGTTGACCGCGAACAAAAAAGAAGAGTGGAAACTTCTTGTCAARGTGACCTCAAAAACCACGCTACCAGAATTAGGTATACATCTATTTACTAAAGGCCGTGTCACACTGGCGTTTTTTTCGTGCAACTTATGTCGCGCAAAAAAAAAATGTTGAAGTTGCACGATGCCATGTCACACTAGCAAAATTCCGTTGCAGCTTAGCTAGCTCAAAAAAATGTTCAAGTTGCACGCGTAAATTGAAAATGTACGATCACCTCACTTCACCTCACTCTGTCTCGTTTTCTTCTTCAAAATTATCGCTTTCGCCAAAGATGGCGTCGGGCATCTTTGTTGATTATTACAACAAGTGACAGCAGGACAGATTCTCGTGCGCCTTATGGGTTCGTGCGCCTAATTATCAATTTTGGAAGTTGCAAGAGACCATGTCACACACGCGTTTTTCCGAAAAATGTTGAAAAAAGTAGAAGCCAGTTCTACTTTTCTCTTAACAAAAAAAAAATGAAATGTTCAAGTTGCATGAGGGGGTGTCACACGTAAAAAAACGCTCGTGCAACGTCAACATTTTTTTGGGACACACAAGTTGCACGAAAAAAACGCCAGTGTGACACGGCCTTAAGAAACAAGGCAGAAAGTGGTAGAACATTTTGGCTTCCCTTACATGTATTTTTTATTGCAAGGATAAACAAAGGCTCTTTTAAAAAGGATTCCGGTTAAACATTGCCCTTAAATTCGACTGAGTCCGCTATAAAAATTATAGTTGTACCAGGGACTTTGATCACCGTACAATACCTGGAAAAGTATAATGATCATGAAATTTGNGCATATTACACGGCACCTTATTGGTCCTTGTTGATCTACTTCAAGAGCGAACAAGAAAAATGAAAATGTAGTCGATGGAGGCGAACGAAGTGAAGTTTGCATTTACGAGAATAACACACCTTTTGCTGAACAACCATTCTTGAATTCGATAGAAAACATACTTTACTATATGAGCAATGTAGCGAAGGAAGTTCAAGAGCAATATGGTCTGCGAAAACAAGGGAAAAGTTCAGACAATGCAGTTGCACGATGATGTCACACTAGAAAATTTCGTTGCAACTTAGCTCGCGCAAGAAAATGTTCAAGTTGCACGCGTAAATTGAAAATGTACGATCACCTCACTTCACCTCACTCTGTCTCGTTTTCTTCTTCAAAATTATCGCTTTCGCCAAAGATGGCGTCGGGCATCTTTGTTGATTATTACAACAAGTGACAGCAGGACAGATTCTCGTGCGCCTTATGGGTTCGTGCGCCTAATTATCAATTTTGGAAGTTGCAAGAGACCATGTCACACACGCGTTTTTCCGAAAAATGTTGAAAAAAGTAGAAGCCAGTTCTACTTTTCTCTTAACAAAAAAAAAATGAAATGTTCAAGTTGCATGAGGGGGTGTCACACGTAAAAAAACGCTCGTGCAACGTCAACATTTTTTTGGGACACACAAGTTGCACGAAAAAAACGCCAGTGTGACACGGCCTTAAGAAACAAGGCAGAAAGTGGTAGAACATTTTGGCTTCCCTTACATGTATTTTTTATTGCAAGGATAAACAAAGGCTCTTTTAAAAAGGATTCCGGTTAAACATTGCCCTTAAATTCGACTGAGTCCGCTATAAAAATTATAGTTGTACCAGGGACTTTGATCACCGTACAATACCTGGAAAAGTATAATGATCATGAAATTTGCGACCAGAAAAACTCAACCAATGATTTTAAAATGAACCTCTAGTACCTCTGTCTGAATGGTTATTCTTGTTAGTTTAATTGCGGCTAGTTTGTGAATTTATCATGTTTCTCTGAGGCATCGTGAAAAGTTGCAAAAACAACCGGTGAGCTTACAAAGGAATGATAGATAACCTTCTTTTACTCCTAAAGACAAACATTCYCAGGTTACTATTATTGCAAGCTCGACGCTCGTTTCCCTTGGAAGCAAAGACACCGCTACTTTTTTTAAGGTAAACGTGAATGAGACTATTGCTTACTCCATTTTCCTTGATTTTGCATATTCAGCCCAGTCTCTCCTCAACAATGATTTGGGTGTTCTCGTCGAGGGYATTGGCAACAATAAACTCACTTGCGCTGCAAGTCTTATTACCATGGTTACGCTACTTCGTGCTCATAGCAACTCCGAAGAAAAAATTGCGAACTTCTGCAAGCACTCGTACCAATTGCATCCTGGGTACAAGGACTATGTTGATGCCAGTGTATCACTGATTACGAAATATGGCTGGACGCAGATTACCGTGATTTATGAAAGTAAGCTATATGATGACAATGATGATGATGAAAGTATGTCTATTCAAGGAACATTTTCTGCATCAATTCTACAATCGTTGACAAAACCTTGGACCACCATATGCGAATTTCCTCATTTTAATCAAACACCCGCAGACAATTTCATTCCTCCCTACCCCCTAAATGTAATTTTATAATAAGCATGTTACCATAGTACACAACCATCCAAAACAATACCTAACATTGATGAAAGCGGTCTGAGGAAGAAAACTGTGAAAAATAAAGGAGAAAGACATTAGGCTGGAGGCAAATAATTCTATGGTTTTTTACAATGTTTTTTGGCAACGACGTTGAAAGTTATCCTTTTTGGCAAAGATTGTACTTGAAGCTTTAGGTGGAAAAATTACTAAATTTATCCCACATAAAATAGATTACAATTAGTCACGTTTTATCTTATCCTATTGATGATCTAAAAAAANCTCTTGCACTATATAAGGAGATATATGGGGCGGGGGAGAGGAAAGGAAGAATGGAAGGGTATAGAGAAGGGGAGTCGAGTGCAATTGATTTTGATTGGGTAATTTATCCAGTAGTGTAATGAAACACCGAGTTTTGAATTCTTTGAGAGCACTGCCAAAAAAAAAGGTTACGTGTCATCATATATTAGGGTTTTAAGAAAGAGGGGCACTCCCTGGCCATTGGGCATTTACGATTAGCGTAAATAACTTGAATTGTAAAAGAAGAAATCAGAAAATGTGTTTTGAACCAAAGAAAAACTATAAAACCATGCAAGTCGCAAAGGTATGTGGTAAATGACTCCAGGGAAAGATGGCTGAATGGATGGATGATCTATAGCATTCTCTTCAGGGATGGGTGCAGGTCTGCGAGGAGGAGTGCACACCTCAAAAGTAGTCACCGGAATTGTACACAAAGGAAAACCTGCTGATAACCTAACCTGCTGGATAATACTATTTAGCTCACGTTTATTTTTTTCAGAATTCACGTTGCGATCTTAAGGCAGAAAGAACATGGATTATTTGTGGCCCTGTAAGTTAACACATTGATTATGAACATGGAAATACAAATACTGCCCTTTGGAGAAGTAGTCACCGGAATTGTACACAAAGGAAAACCTGCTGATAACCTAACCTGCTGGATAATACTATTTAGCTCACGTTTATTTTTTTCAGAATTCACGTTGCGATCTTAAGGCAGAAAGAACATGGATTATTTGTGGCCCTGTAAGTTAACACATTGATTATGAACATGGAAAGGCATGAAATGATTGACTATTGCATGTACCATGATGCATCTGTCTATGTGAATAACATTAGATTACATTTTTGCTAGTTTRCAATGGAACTAAAAGCAGATGACCAGCACACCGTTATAGGTTTACGGATCTCACGGAARGATGACAAGACAACCCAACTTCTGTCACACCTTCGTGTTTCAACAGGGAAGAGTTTGAACGATGTTAAGGTAGTGTTCTGCAATGATGAAAAAACAAAGATTGTGGTCAGAAGTATTATTTTAGTTTTATCTTCCCTACATTTTTATCCATGAACGGATTAACGATGACTTTTTTTCTTGTGATTAATTTTCTAATATTATATCATTTTCGAAGGTGAATGTTTGAGGAAAAAATTTCGGTGTTTCATCAAATATTTTGGCGGATTTGTTTTTCCTTTTCGCCCGGAGTATGGATTTCCTGTGGTGGTACACAGACGGACTTCGGAAGGAAACGTGTACGCGCGGGAACCCTGTGTCTTCCATGAAAAGTGGACTCGATGGATATACATATTTTTTCTTACCTATGGTGCTCCGCTCCCCTCCGATAGCGCTTCTTTCTCCGTATGTCCTAGAGCGGATTTCGTATGAGTGGGAAATGGACAGTACTGTACTGTGACCGTAATCGTACTGTAACCAAATTCTAGTGCCCCATTGGTTCACCAAAAATGTGCAGGGCAGGTGCGGTAACTGTTCGGTAACCGTGCGGTAACGGTGTCCCACTGATACGAAATCCGCTCTAATTTACAATTTGAAGTACTTTGAAACGTAACCGATAGATAGGAAGCTCTTTCTTTATTGATTTTAATTCTAAGTTTTTCATGGATGCAGGATCGCGTTCTTCTTATGTACGATTCCGTTCTTATTGCTTCCCATGTTATTCAAGCCATAACAAAAGCAAACAAATGGACCAATCAGAGCTCGTTTGATGCTAWGATTAATAGAAGATCTCAATTGCAGAAATACATACAGAAGGTACTAAGTAAAGAAATTCGACTTGATTCTAAGTCATTTGTTGATGGTTTGTTATACTCNCCTTCGTAACCAATTAGGGATTAAGGTACGTTTGAAGTTTCACAATGTATTCTTCCTTTTCAATTGCGTTTTCACTATACGTCACAACAGCCATCTTGGAGGAACTTCAACAAAGGATTTCTGATTAGTTCTATTGTTCATTCCTGCAACATGGCCGTCGCTCTTTTATCTTTTGAATATCATGGGAATGGTTGAAAACAGTCAACATTCGCATATATCAAACAATCCTCAACATTCTAGCATATAACGTTTATTTCTAAGACAAATATCAACATGAAATGAAAACTTAGCAGACAAAGCAGGGGCTGGTTGTACGTTAAGTTCACAGGAGTCACATTTTTTTTGTAAACACGCATTACTCTTTGCAGTTTCAATGAATTTTCTAAGAAACTCCTTGTTCTCTTCCTAGATTGGTTCGTATGACAGTGTCGAGGGTCTAAATATGATAACCTATCCACGAGAAAACATCATGAAAGCCCATAATCCTAATTCGTTGAAAGGGTTGCGATTGAAGATTGCTACAGCTGTGGTACTTACTTCTTCCTATTCTTTTTTGCTTCTCTTCTTTTTGTTATCTTTCGAAGCTCATGACCTATTAATTTTTTCCTTCTTCGTCTTCTCGGCCCTGTTCTAGCTTCTTAGTCCTTCTTCTTCTTCTTCTTCTTCTTCTTCATCATCTAAGCGATGACTATTGTTATTATTTATCTTAATTTCTAGACACCTCCTTACGTTATAAAAACTTCTCATCCGAAGAATGGTGAACCGATCTACACGGGATCAGTCATTGATTTACTAAACAATATCTCCCAGCACTTTAAGTTTACTTACGATCTATACGAGTCAACGGAATACGGAGTTACGAGAAATGGAGAATGGAACGGCCTTATCAAAGAACTTCTAGAAGGGGTTTGTATAGTTCTTACACAGTATGTAAAATGAGGGTTTAGACTACGGAACGGAAATCGAGAAGAAATAAGGGGAGAATCATTATTATAAGAATGAGCTGGAATGACTGACGATATGGGAATCAGGAATACAAATTATTAGTTCGGTTTAAGGAACAAGTTTTAAAAGCACAACCACACTCATTATGGAGGTGTTAATCACCTSTCTCCTGTCTTGCTCGCTCGTTCCTCATGGCTCACAGTGGCTAAAGACTCCTCCACTTTTAAGTGGATTTACCCTGCATCTGGGTTTCTGTGAATTTTTTCCCCAATGGAAAAAGAATAATCGACTCTTTGCCAATCTCCAATGTGGTGGAACAGGGGGTAAAAGGACATTAATTGAACCGAACTCAAAGCATTCAARAGAAATCTGGCACAAACTTGTGCATTAAAGTATGCTTGGCGTTGCGCAAGTCTCTAAACGAATTTAAAGTTTTGCGAACTGATGATTTGACTAAAATCTCAATCAATTGTCCATTAGAGTTCACATAAGTGTCCATGCGCTCAATGGAAAAGCAATGTTTTATATTTTGGAAAGTTCAGGWAGTTCACGCAGTGGCGGATCCATGCAGGATTTTCCTCATGGATGGGTGCAGGGCTCTCAGGAAGGGATGCATCCAGAAAAAATCATTACTATGGAAGATGTAAAATAAGGAAAGTATTGAAGGATACAGATCTCAGGAGGGGGAGCGGACCCCCTGCACCCACCAGCTGGATCCGCCCCTGTCACTACAGAGCTAAATAAATAATCATTCAAGGTGTATATGTTTCCATTCAGAGAGCTGACATGGCGGCGGCAGGAATTACCATCGACCAGCAACGGCTAAAGGCGGTCGAATTCACCTCGGCGTACCAATATATCACAATAGATCTATTYCTGAGAAAAGACCTGTTAATWAACAATGGAGTGGATCTRTATCACTTTTTAACGCCTTGGGAATCAAKCTTGTGGCTGGGCTGCCTGTTTYCTACTATTGTCATTTCAATTGCTCTYTTCGTGGTGTCGTATTATAGTCCGTATGAACGAGCYAAGACTGGGTCGATGTCCAAGTGTAGCCTTTCAGAGTGCTTTTGGTTTTCTATTGAGTGTATGCTACAACAAGGTCCTGAGCACTTGCCGAGGTCTATTTCAGGTATCTATTTGTATTGCACTTTATATATAATTGTTTCGTGATTTTTAATAGTGTTTGTATTCTAGTACCGAAATTCCATTCCTTTAATTTTAATTTTAATGGTTAAAACCATTCTAAATTTCATCATTTCTCCAGCACGTTTGCTGGTGAGTTTCTTTTGGATGTTTATCCTCATTTCCTTGGCAACGTATACTGCGAATTTCACRGCTTTCTTCAATACTCAACAAGACCACAGCATTAAGAGCCTCGAGGAAGCCTATAACCAAGGGTTTTCATTCGCAATAGTCAACAARTCATACCTCTATTCCTACTTTCGTGACTCTGACTTTGCTGGTCATAAAAAGGTATTTTGTGGTTTAATGGGTACAGGTTTCTTTGTCTTATTTTTGTTGCTAAATTATTGGTGGTTTGAGTTGGTGGTGGTAACTGAAGCCTTTAGTTTTTTGGTTGATTAGATGGTTGATTGGTTAATTTGGACATTGGGCCCTTAGTTCAGTAGTTGGTTGGCTAGTTAGTTTGGTTTGCTAGATAATTGGTTGGTTTGTTACTGAATCAGCTAGTTTTTCATTCTAGTTTTCTTGGTTTTTGTTAAACGTTTTTTTATGGTTGGTTGGTTGGTTGGTTGGTTGGTTGGTTGGTTGGTTGGTTGGTTGCATATTGAGGAAAAGATAAACAAACCCTTTTTTGATAGATCTGGAACCGCAAAATTGTATTCCCATCTGGTGAAGAATGTGTGAAGGCTGTCCGCGAGAAAAACTTCGTCTACTTCTACGATAAACCGATATTGGACTATCAGGCTAATAAAAAGCCTTGTGATTTGACCGTTGGTAAGGCTATAATATTTACGTACTCAGTTATAATTTACTTAGCAGTGGACTATCAGTGGTCAATAAAAATGAGAAACTTTGTTAAGATGACAGAAAATAAAAAGAATCATCTACTATAATTTAATATCTCCTAAAATGTTGTTGCTATGRCACTGAATGTATTATTACTTTCTCACGCCACTTAAATAGTCAGAACTCACAATTACTGAATTAATGAAGCACTGCAGACCCGTAGATCTGGAAGGGGGGGGGGGGGGTGTTCGGAGGGATTAGACGAACTCCCCAAGCTTAAAAAGTCCAGTTTTTCCTTTTTTTTATTTTTCTATAAAAGTTCTTTAGTTATGAACAGCTCCTTCTAGCAGCTAGCAGCCAGTTCTTACACACTGTCACAATCCGTCCGTRGGGCATACCTACTAACGTTTTATACTGTACTTTTATCTTTGTTTAAGTTCCCGGTCTGACTGCTCCACATGAATTGGCCTTTGCATTAAGACCCGGTGACCCTCGTGTAGCGATGATATCAGTGTACATTTTAAGTCTAAGAGAAAGTGGTTTTCTCAGATCAATGGAACACAAATGGTGGGGAGGATCTAACGAGTGCTCGGGCAACAAAGGTAAGAAATACGCTGTAATTGGTTGGGCCATTACTATATCACAAATGATAATTTTCTCCCTTTGTGATTGGTCGAGAGCCGTGCCAAATAAAAAGTAKATACCACGGTCGCTACTTTGCTCGCGATTAACTTTGATACTTTAAGAAAAACAAGAGAATTGTTTACATTTTATGTAACGAATCAAAAAGCGGAAAAAGTATGAACCAAGATTTGTTGAAATAAATGTTTTAGTTTGAAATGATATTAAAGCCGTTGTGTGCGCGGAGATAAATAGTAACTAGCAATGAATTGAATGATATTTATTTCTTCTCCAGCCTTCGTGCAGTATCAGATCACCTTGAGTAAGATGTCTGGTGTGTTCGTGGCTATTTTTGTGGGCATGGCGCTTTCCTTTTTTGTCCTAATTATAGAGATATTACGGGATAGAAGGCAAAGGTCGCGCGCACAACGGATCGCAAGGTAGGTTTTGAAAGTGATTTTCTATCTCATCTTGACCGAAGTCAATGCACTAGGCAATGCACCAGCGACGCCATTTTGTGCAACTAGACGATCAGCGATCGTTTACATGGGCTTCCTCTGGTTTATCCCAATCAGTAAATGATATTGAACCCTAATGAAATTAATATTACTAAGACAACAGCAAAAAAAGATTCCCTTTAATGAAAAATAATCAAACAAGCAAAGGAAGACAGTAATTTATGTCTGACGAGCCGTTACTTTAAGAGTCGCATCCTTGGCTGTATTAAACACAGATCGATAGTCTTTCATGTTCTTCGCTTAAAATTCTTCCAATCCTCTGTTTTTCCTCAGTATAAATCTGTTGACATGTCTTAGATAAGTCCTTGGTGATTGTAGAGCCGGTACTAGTATAAGTTTGCTTTTGATAAGCTAATGTTTGATAGATACTAATTCACGTTCGGTTAAGATTCACGATAAATTCGCCGTATCTCTCCAAATGCCCTTTTGAGAAACGCTCGAATTTTTTTAGTGTGGCTATGCCGCGAATGGTGTGTGGATTTGTAAAAGAATCTAGCGTTCGACATGTTCGATCTTAAAACTTTGGCGGCTATACGAAGGTTCGAAGAAGCACGAGGCGACGTTTGAATCGTTGCTTAGAAACATGAATGACAGTAAGACAATAGATGTCAAAAATGAAAAGGTCCCGGATATAATTTGAAGCATACCACAGACGAAAAACGTCGGTAATTTAAGACATGGCCTTCCTTTGGAAGCCCATGTAATAAATCATGATGGTGGTTGTAGTCCTCGCACATTTTCATGTCCGTTGAACTAGCCGTCTTAGTCCGTTTTGCTTTTTCTTTGCAAAAATAGAAGTAAAAGCGTGTCGTTTTTATAAAGAAAAAAAACGCGCGTCTTTTAGCGAAATTTTTCAGGAGGCGTGAAAAGTGCAAAGTTTACAACACCCATCATGCTTTGTTGCACAAAATGGCGTCGCTGGACATTGCCAACTGGTGGTATATAAAAGCCTTATTATTATGACTCGTGAAAGTCGTTAGGCTATAAATTTTACTAAACACGATAAAGTTTGCTATGGTTTGATGGTTGGTTGCTTAGAAGTTGTCGGAACCTTGACCTTGCCTGTCTCCTTATTTGGAATTCATATTAGTAGAACTTGTCTTTATTCTTTTCAGAGAAAAATCTTCCGAATAACAAGAAATGTGGCAATYTCTGGTTCTGGATCAGATAAATATGCAACGTTCCGAGTGATCCTGCATAAGTGTCGCAAAAACTGAACTGATATCATCGTAMCTCTACCACCGAAGGGAATTTTTAGTACTGAGAAATTCAAGCCATATTTGCCTAAAAATCACGCTACTACATTATCATTACTCCTAGAGAATGTCATTCTATTAAATACATGCAATCTTATGTCACTGAGACACTACTGAACTCATAACTATATGCTTTCCCATGCTACCATTCGGTTTTAGCTTCGATAATGTAACCTTCTAAGACGCGCAGCGTGGACTTTTTGTCTAGTACGCACATGTCATGGTGGACCGCGACACATATTATGGATTGGGGGGCTAGCGGGAGTATTAATTGGGTTCTTGGGGTCCTCCCCAGGAAATTTTGAAATAATAACTCTTAGAAGTGCGATTTCCAGCGRTTTGAGGGTCTTTTTGATAACRAAGCCTTGGTTGGAGAAAGCAAGCATAGAAAATTATATAATAAAAATCCCGAAAATTGTTATATAATTTCTACGTACGCAGGTGCGTATATGCGTAAAGGACGCTACGCYCCTGCTTCTGGAACTCGACCACGTTTTTTAAAATACAGCAATGTCAATATAGGGCTACCTCAATTCACACTATACATGTATTCATGAAAAAGATATGCCTAATTTGAAGTACTAAAGCGCAGTAGAGTATTAAATAATTCCATGGTTCCAATGAGAAGTATAAGGTTGAGTAAAAACATTGATTGATTGACTGTAAAAAATGTGAAAAAACAAAAAACAAAAACAAATTGTTATTAAAGAAATAGTCGAGAAGCACACGCAAAAAGAAACTTCTCGGAAGTTCAAGCATAGACCCGCTTGAGAGAAGGACAACAACGAATGCGCACGCTTTTAATTTACGCTAGTACTGTTATAGGAGCGCGCTCAAAATGCGGGTTACCTGTGGTATTACGTCAGTGATCCGTAACCGGCCATTTAGCTAAGAGCGCGGGCTGCTGATAACACCAGTACTAGCGTAAAAGCGTGCGCATTCGTTCTTTTCCTTCTCTCAAGCGACAGTTGGGCGGCTCTGGGCGGCCTATGGTTCAAGCGGACTCTCTCTATTTTTTTTTGTATTCAGTTCTTTTTGGGACATTTCAAGGCCGAGTTATATATAAATACACACCAGGCGGCGATTCCCAAGGGCCAAGGAACCTATTGTGATGGTTGATCATTCCCTTGGGAGGCTGACGCAGGGCGACCTGTTTCCCAACCTACGTAAACATATCCGTCTGAATGATTCGGAAAAGAAATTTTTATCCACGACATGGAGTCCATAGAACTTTAATTCAGCTGTAGTCAAAGACATCTTTCTGTATCGGTTGACATTAACATTCACTACATCTATATTTGATAATTGAATCAATTGGTAAACTTTTATATCATCGAGACGAAATGTGGAACTTTCAAGTGTAATGTTAGAGTTTTATAGGTCTTCAATTGTGTTCTGTTGATCACGGAAAATCTTTGGCAACAACTAGTATCTGCCTGGTCTTTAAACCAGTTAAGTTAAGAATTTGATTTTTTTTGTGTGCTGTTTATCCGAATACTAGTTACGTCTGTTTAATATAAGAACTTTTCCTGTGATGATTTGGAAAACAATAACGACAATTGAACAGCTCGGTGAAGGCCGTCACAGATCATCAAGTACATTGCRWCTCGACAGCAAATCAGCACTCATCAGCACCCGTCCCCACCCCCATCAAATAATAAATCCACTAGGAATCCACTAAGAATTATTATTCAAACCGTGTATCGTTTGCTAATTTCCTGAGATGAGCTCTGATTGGCTCGCTGCTCCCTAAGGATTTTGATGACGTCATATATTAGCATAGGACTTCGCCGGATAGACTATCCCAATTAGGTATTAGATATCTATAAGTGTCTTCATAGTACGATGGTCTAAGAGGGTAGCTGAAGGTATGCTCTAGTGGGCGGCTACCCCCTCACTCCCTGGCCTTTTGGTTAAGACTAAGTTTTATGTTTCACTCGGGATAGCGTGGAAGAGCCGAAATCTCTAACCGTAACGTAAGCCGATTRGKCGCCTCAGCTTCARAGAATGTCTCGGGGGAATCGTCCCATCTTTTTAGTTTTTAATTTTTATTATTTCTTATGTATATCCGGGGGGGATTATATCTTCTCCTGAAAGTTCTGAGTTCGAGCCCTGCTGCTGCAATTTCTCTTTTTTTTTCTCTTCTTTTTCGTTTGCCTCTTGTTTTTTTTTTCTTCTTCTTTCTTTTTTTTCTTTTTCTTTTCTTCTTTGTCTTTGCTAGCCTGCTGTCACTTGTTGTTTTTCTCTAGATATTTTAGATATTTCCCTTAATTTTCAACTTTTAAACACATCAAGGACACGAAAGTGACGCCTGTGACATGTRGATGGTTTCGAATGAACACGATGGCATAGTGACGTCAGTRCCCATAAAACTTTTCGTCACAAAAGCGGCTCGTAAATYATAATAAAACAAAKWTCTACAGGAAAAACTAAARGTGAATAGAACAACTGTAATTTAGGTAAAAAGAAATTAATAAATAAAAAAGGACCGAAGCTGGGACAATGCGTCAGTCGATAATGAAAGATAATAATAATAAATATATAAAAATAAAGTCGTAGCATTTGAAGACCGTGCCTAAAGGCCTTTGGCCTGGACACGGTAATTAGTACGGCAAAAGAAGTTAATCTGTTTTTCAAAATACGTCTGAAAGACACGCTGCCCTTAATATTGTATTGAGGTGTTCTCACTTTGCATTTCTGGCAACTTTTTTTTATGACATTTTTACGTCTGGTGCTGTTATACAAAGAAAGCGCGCTTTAGGCTTTAGAGTTTAGGTAAGGACTACTACTCCCATCATGCTTTGAACTGAGGCGAACATTCACGTGCGTATTTTGCCGGCGATGTCAGCGGTATCTCCACTTTTTTTCATGCGCACMATTTCAAGCGAGGATCARTTTAGTCTTCTATTTTTAATCTCCTCACAAGTTTTCCTTCTTTTCTTCCTTCCCTAGTTATGACTTACTAGATTAGAATAGATAGGGTTTACTCACAGGATGCCTGCTATTCACTTTGCAGTACATCCACTTCCAGTGACTGTTGATGAGCTACATGAAAGGCAAGTTACAACAACAAAGTCCTCGATACGCAGACACAACCATGCTATCTAATCTCATTTTTTTCTTGACTATATCTAGACTTAAAGAAGTAGCAGAGACTAAAGCAGGAACTAGCCATTTAAGGTTAGTAGTTATGACTTTTTCGGAGTCGTTTGTAGTGTATTTTCCTCGTACTTCACGACAAACTTTTCCCACCCTCATCATYTCGTCTCACGACAAATCACGTTTTTTAAGGTGAGCTTAAGTGTTTTGTCCCCAAAAGTGAATGGTTTACTGATGTCTTCTAGTTCTAAAGTCTGTATTTAAACGTAGACTTGTAAATCAGATCCGGCTACAACGAATATTTTTGTGTCTTTCAGACGATTGAAACGCGTTTTGTCTAATTCAGTGCAATTCAATTGCGTATAGTAGAGAATCATTGTCATTGCTTTTTACTATTGTAAAATAAGCCCGAAGATAGATGGTTCATGGTTGAAAATGTATTTAAAGTTTATTTGTCTCATWATTAGCCCGACTGTAGTACAAGTTCTGAACGAGTATTCAATCAAAGAAATTGTCGTTGGTCCAAAACATGTGGCAATCCTGCTTGAGGTAAGGTTGAATATGACCTATATTTTTGCTCTGTGTTTTTGCTCTCTTTTAAAATTATTGTGTAATTAAAATTTSAAATCGAAATCTCTTGTTCTTTGACAATAAGACGAAAGTTAATAGAAATATTATACACATCCCGGCGTAACTAATCGATGAAAATCGATCATCGGAAAGCTAATCGATAAATCGATATTACTCGATATATGAAACTGATTAGTATTGATTAGTATCGGTAATCGATAAAAATCGATAATCACAAAAAAATGTAGAGATATCGATTAATATCGATTACTTTCGCTGAGCACCAAAAAATAAAATATATCAAAAACACAGTTTTAYTTATGCAGCTTTATTTCGGTTGTTCTTCACACACATTTAGGCTAGGTAGCTGATATTGCCCAGGCTTATAAAGCCCAAGCTTTTCCCTGCGTCTGTGATTGTTAAACCAAGTGATAATCTGACGAGTTAAAACAAAAAAATAAAAGGTTATAATGAATACGTTTATATAAAACCAAGATTAATTAAGGGATCGACTCAAACAGGTGACCATAAGCATCAATCCTAGTAAATATAACCCGGGTAGAGCGGATTTCGTATGAGTGGGAAACGGACGGTACTGTACTGTGACCGTAATCGTACTGTAACCAAATTCTAGTGCCCCATTGGTTCACCAAAATTGTGCAGGCCAGGTCCGGTAACTGTGCGGTAACCGTGCGGTAACGGTGTCCCACTCATACGAAATCCGCTCTAATCAGCGGGTAATCAGTAATTTTTTTGTAACCCAATGTTCGTTTTCGCGCGCGGTATCAATCAAATTCATTGAAGATCAGAGCTGTGCTGTAAAAACGTCAACATGCGAAAAATATTATTATGTTTTCTACTGCAGTTCACTGTATTATATTTAGTAATACATGGTGCACCCCAAAAGGAAATTACTGAGATCCAGTCCAATCTCAGTAAACAAGGATTTAAATCCATATCCTCTAAAAACAAATTTGAAAGCTCTCTTACTTGCGAGGCTTGTGGACACACTTTATACTATCAAGGAATTGCGAAAGCTTTGTGGATATTAAAAAGACATGCAMCTGATCAGGGYCACAAAGCGAAAGCTGGATGGTTTTTGGATGACCAGAATAATGTTGTCCGCTTTAAGATTAAAGGTAAGCCGAAAAATGGTATTGTTTATTTTACCTGCTTCTTATCAACATGAAATGCAATAGCCGTCCTCTCAACAACGTCTTGAGGTGGAAAGCCGTTGTTGGATTCCATAAACACTGTGTCCAGCGTGCAAAGCTGGATCTGATTGAAGTTCAGTCTCTTTTCAGTTACTTTGGGGGTTTCTTTGGAGGTTTCTTTGGGTGTAGCCTTATCTGTAAAAATGAAAATGATACGAATTAAGTTAAGTTTTCACCCAGTCAACAACAGTCAATTGTGCTTTCTGGATTTTTTTTTTTTTACCTTTGACAATTTTGAGCAGTCTTGATTGCTTTTCTTCGCTTGATAGAAATTGTACAATCTGCGTCCAAATTGCTCGACTACCTGTTGTTGGCATTTTTAYTGGTGGCTGGCTGAGGTAATCGGAGAGCGTCCCTTGCTTTCTTCCTTATTCACACTCTGCGAAGTGCTTTTGGGACACWCGGTTACTGTTGAGCCAAAGTTTTAGGCGCTGCGCGATCTCCCTAGGTTCTTCATCATCGTGATCAATATTTTTCTTGGCTGCATCGTCGAAGACTGGATCTGAAATTCAAATGTTCATCAGCTCTAATAGTTGTAATCCAGGATTTTTTTTAACATAAGTCAATTAGTTCTAAGTTATCAATCGACATGGAAAATGGAGCAGTCTTAATACCTTTTGATATCCCCTCAGTTTGTTCCACGCCTTGAGCCGCAGGCAACGCTATTATTTCTCCTCCTTGCTCTTCAATGAACTTCTTCACCAACTCTACTTGTTTTTCYTCAATATCACATACCACACGTACTCTCTTTCTTGCGTCCATATTAATTAAATGATCAGAAATGAACTATGTAAACTTAAGAAAAACGTTCAATGACTATGTGTGTGGACTCGGCTGTCGCGAAACTTAAATCTCGGCCTTTTCAATAGATCTTATTAAAATATCATCAATCTTCAAAATATGTTTTCATCAACAATCGACGGAATCGATTRGTGCTTGGAGTGCTATATAAACCGTTGCAAATGATCTTGTAMGGGCGGAGCTTTTCGTTAACTCGTTCAGTCATTGGCTGATTTGCAGCAAGCTCCGCCCCAAAGTCGCCGAAAAACGGCGCCTAAATCCTTACGGTTTCTGCTATAAGAACTAAAGGTTTTAAAAAAGATCCGACTAAAGAAATGGCTGATGTTTTGATTAAYATAAATTGTATTGTAAAAGGCTTCCAAGAATGCCCATTTATAGTTGATATCGGTGAGGAGTTTCAGGCTTTTAAGAAGTACGGACCCAAAGGTCGAGCAATGAAAGTGATGTGCACACGTGGGCAGCTTGGGCATCTTCAGAAGGAACTAGTTTCTCCACTTTGGGCTTTTAAAGAAAACATTAAATGGTAAGCGTTACAAAAATTACCGTAAATACGAGCTAGTAGACTATCCCGCGAGACTATTAATCAAATAAACAAATAAACAGAGGATTTAATTAATTAAGCTTAAAGGCGGCAAACAATCATCTGAATRGCTTGGATAATTCCCAGGTAATTCCGTATTTTTTCATTGCAGTACAATCACAGGTGCACCGTTCGATGACCCTAAGGGAAGATGGCGAATAGGAGGTGGAATAAATGTTCCAGTAGAGGTCGAAATAACAACAAATAAAAGCAAAGCTATGCAGCTSAAGAGAGAACTCTTGATTCTGGGGATTAGAGCTACGATTGCTMAATGTCATAATCTCCTACCTACAGTCTACGACAAATAAGAATATGTAATCTTATTTTTTTGTTTAATAATAAAAAGTCTGTAGTACTAGAATAAAGTGCATTCCAGTTCATTGCATTGTATCTGTAATATTCATGTTATAGTTATTATCTCTAAGCCCTCACTTTACACCACCTAATGGCTCGTACAGAGCCCGAATTGCCTTGGGCTCTGGGCACGAGATTGCACAGCACCCCGCGGGATTTGACGTACTTCGACTCAACACAACGAAATAATAGAAAAACGGAATAGGATTTTGAATATAACAAAAGCATATGATAATTTAAATTAAGTTATACTAGTTATCGTGGCTTTCCATCTATACCCTGTGATTCGTATGAATTCCCTTTTAACTGACTTTGCTTGATAATCGTTTTAATTGTGTGCAATAAATATGATGTTTATATGAGCTTTATTTTCTTTATAGCTACTACATGTTACTACTTCTTATTATCTACATAAA